TGTTGCTCGTCATAGCATCATTGTTCCCTCCGTCATCCCTGTCCTTTACCATTCCCATTCCTGTGCATGTCGTACTCGCTCGAGGGGTTGTGTTGTAGTCTGTGACGCTCACCGGCATCTTGCGGTTCGAGCTCGTACTTACATCGATAGATTACGATCCGGTCAGCGCTAGTTTAGGATACATATAGCGTGTATTTTCTTCGTTCGTCTTCACGCGATTGTCCTCTGTAACCCGCACCCGCCGTCTCTATTTCGACCTCAGAGGACACTCGCCCTCCTTCTAATCGAATCCCTTCGTCTCTCCTCGCTCGCGCGCGCTCGTCTGCGTCCCGAAAATCTACATGAGGTTAGGGAGCTCGAGGATAAGTAAGGACTTGTGCGCAGGAGAGTCTCGGAGAGGAGCGGAAATGCGCAGCAAAGTGGGGACATGACGTCATCAGCGCCTGCTTTCCGGGAAACTCCGACATCCACTTATATATATCGGTGCCCCTCGGCGTCCTCTCAAAGTCCTCCCTTGTCCTCATGCATCTTCCTGCCTGCTCTGGCTCTGGTTCCACGTCGTCGTTTCTGCGCCGCCCTCTTGCTCCTGGTGTCTGTTCTCAGGCCAGATCTTGCACTCATGCTCAATAGTTGCGCGCTCCGTGTCCGGATATGTGCTTGATTCCCCCATATCCCTGAACACCCGGTGAGCATGTCCAGGCTTTTGTCATTGTTTCGCATCCGTTCTTCCGTTTGCAGAACGCTCGGTTCCGTTTGCAGAACGTTCGTTCTCGCCACTCGCTCATCCTCATGGAAGCCGTCCTCACGCACGTCCTTTCTGCCGCGTGTTCTTCCTCTGTCGCCGCCACCTTTCCATCACCGCTGCTCTTCCCTCACCGCTGCTTTCCCTCACCGCTGCTTCTCCCTTACCACTACTCTTCCCTCGCTGCCACCCTCGCTCTCCTTCACGTCTCACCGTCTCCCTCTTGTGCCACTGTCTCAGGCCACGGTTCTCGCACCCTCACACTTACGCACGCTGATGCTCTCACCCTTGCCGTTGCTCTCTTGCTTGCCCACGATGCTTTCTGTCCTCGTGTACCATCCACCAATGAGCTTCTGTGCTGTAAGGCTTCTTCCGTTATGTTTGGAACTGTGTATGTTCGTAGAGTCACTGTAGTTAACCCTTTTGTAATTATTTACATCCGCTAATCAATGGGGTTATCTTTCTGGTCGTTAATTTGAGTGATGATACAATTTCAAGCGTGATAAGCAACGTCAGCACAAGTGTAATGCGCCGCTATTTACTGCTACAGTATTGCTATTGTGTCACTAAAATGTTGCTAAACTGCTCCGTTAGCACACCACGTTTCAAATTATCGCTCATTTGCTACAGCTTGCAAATTTGCACCATTCGTGCTCATTAGCGACAATTGTCACAAATTTGCCAAGGAGGTTTTTCCTGATGTCAGCAAATTGATCAGAGTGTTTTTCCTCGACAGCAGCTGCGCACCGTGCCGTCCACTTGATACACGGCAGAATCTCTACGCGGGCTTGAGATGAGTGAGAGGCCACACAAGATGGGAGGAACAACAAGGTTTGCAAAAAGTTGCCGACTAACCCCCGGCGGGACTCGAACCTGGCCTAAGGCGAGCGCAGCGAGCCCTCTTGCCCACGAGCGAAGCGAGTCCCGCCGTCTCCTCAACTGCTTTGCCCCGCAGGGCCTATCTCGCTTCCATAGTCCTCGTCTGTGTTCTCGAGCACGGACGCTGTAGCGTGTCCCGTCCAAATCAGGTATCACACGAGCGTCTACCGACCGACGCGATCACATGCCCGTCGCGCGTCGCGTCGCGCGTCATTGCGCGTCTCCCTCGCTATATAAGCCCGACGTCTCGTCGTCCCGCCCCCACTCATCTTCTCCACATCCACCTGCATGGTCGACAGTTTACACCTCAGGCGTTCGTTCCAGATTCCACGCCGACCGCCGTCCCGCGCCTTCCTCCCGCCTTCCATCGGCCGGTCCGTCAACCCATGGCCCACGCCCCACGCCCTGGCACCACCGCGGACTGCTGAGCCCGTCTCTGAGTGAGTCTCCGCGCACTTGCACACGCCCGAATGCTAACCACATGCATTTGCAGCATCCCGCCGCCTGCACCTCCCAGCCCGGCTATGGGCCCTCCCCCCGTTCCCGAGCATGTGAGGAACGCACACAGGTATGTCATATGTGCACAATGCTATCCCAGGCTGATAAGTGGCCGCATATAGGCAGCACCTCCGACTATGGCACCAGCGGCAAGCGCATGCTGAGCGTATGTACCAACAGCGCATCTATCCATGGTTACTTACGCGCATACAGCCTGTTCCTCCGTCGCTCATCCCACGCCCCGTCTCCCGGTCGCCTGTCGAAAGCCCACGAACCTCGCCAGAGTCACTTCTCCATATGTGCGTACGCGCACAGTGCAAAAAATTTCCGACTAACCCCCGGCGGGACTCGAACCCGCAACCTCCAGATCGCCCCGAGTCTTGGTTAGAAGTCTGACGTCATAGCCATTAGACAACGGGGGCCTCCAATACCTCGTCTCCCTGGCATATCTAGCGACGCGACATGCCGTTGGTCCTGGATCTCAAGAGAAATCGAATTCATGCGGATGAGCCTCGTGCTGACCGTAAGGCTGGACCCGACTCAGTACAACATGGACCACAAGGGACCATACGCTTCTTTACGGCATCGGTGAACAGCGGTGAATGTGATCAGTCGCTAGCCGGCGAGCTATATAAGTACCAGATGACTTGTTTTGCCCCAGTGGCGTGTGGTGCAACTACCTCCAGGTCGATTTTGGTACGTCAACTTCCTCCCGTTTTGCGTCGCTCGGTTGCCTGATCGTCCAGTTTTCTTAGTTGTGGGTGCCGTCGTAAAGCTTGAACTCGGTCTGAACTGACGCGTGGTACTACGTGCGCAGAGACGATGGGTTCTTTCCTATCACGTGGATTCAACCCCGACACCGACGTCCCAGACTTGACAGGAAAGGTCATTCTGGTGACCGGCGGAAAGTGAGCATCACAGTCGAGAACGGTCCCTGCTTTTTCTGACCTCTCCATCAGCTCCGGTGTTGGGTTCGTCGCCATTCAGCAGCTGGTACGGCACGGAGCCAAGGTCTACATGGGCGCACGCAACGAGCAGAAAGCAAAGGCAGCCATCGAGCGATTGCACGCCGAAGGACTCGGACCCGGGAACGGCGAGGTTCTGTGGCTCAACCTCGACCTCAGCGATCCCCGCGCAGTCCAGAGGGCCGCCGAGGAGTTCGTGCGAAAGGAGGAGCGCCTTGATGTGTTAGGTGTGATTTGAACTGCGTGTGCTGAAATACCGAGGCTGAGCTGACGGTGCCTTTCGACAGTGAACAACGCTGCCGTGTGAGTAGCGCTTTCTATCTCACAGATCGATGCGTCTCATAGCGCGCCCGGGCAGCCTACTCGTCCCTTTCGCCAAAGACCACGATAACATCCAGAACATCGTCATGGTCAAGTAAGCCGTGTCCCCCATCTGGCCCGCCCTCGACTGAGCAGATGCCACAGCTACATAGGAACCTACCTGCTGACGCGCTTCCTTCTCCCGCTCCTCAAACGAACGGCGGATCAGCCGAACAGCGATGTTCGAATCGTGGCCGTGAACAGCGCTTCGTGAGCGAAGCCAGTTTCCCGTCCTCCATTACGGCTCACGTCTGCTTCTACCTCCCAGACATCGCAATTGCCCCTCCAGTGTCCGCTTCCGCAACCTCGACGACCTCAACAGGGACTTCACGGACACCATGTTCCCGCAATTCCTGCGCTACGGTACGTTGAGCCATCCCGCCTCCGACTCTCCCCTCAATCTGACCCGAGTAGCCTTCTCCAAGACGATGCAGCTCATGTTCATCAAGGACTTGCAGCATCGACTGGACGACGCCGGAGTCCCCATCCTCTGCATAGCAGTCGACCCAGGCGAAGTCCGAACGGGTACGAGTCTACTCTTCCCCTCTCACTATGTTTCCTTACTCACTTACCCGCCGCAGAGGGCGTGCACGCCTACACCGAGTCCGTCGGGCCAATCGTCGGACCCATATACCGCCTCATCGCCCGCCTCGCCTTCCAGACACCCGCCCAAGGCGCACGCAGCACCGTTTTCTCCGCAGGCTCGCCGATACCACGCACCGAGCCGAACAAGTACCGCGGCGCGTACCTCGGCTCGTCCTGCAAGATGGAGAAGCCCAGCACGCTTGTGCAGAAGGCGGAGCTGCGGCAGGAGCTGTGGGATACGACGGAGAAGACCCTGCATGACATCGGACTGGAGTTGCCTCCCATCTAGTCTGTGAAGGACGCTCTGATGCATGAGATCGGACGGGATCCATCGCCGTGTCGAAATCGTCGGTCGTATGGAGCCGTAACGGGCACATATGGTAGTCATCAGGTGGGACAATATCATCAGGCTCTCAGAATGCCTCTGCTCGAGTCGTCGACTTTGACATACGACGCGCTCCCGCATCGCAGAGCGGTTCAATTGCTCTATCCCGTCTTCTCCAGCTATACATACCTGCTCTCGCATACGCCGCCTTCCCTTCGACGACTGACGCTGCGATCTCCACTGCTGGACAGCGAACAGCGATGGGACATGACCAAGCTCGTATCAGTAGTGGTACCTCGACCGGCTCATGGAGAAACGATCCGGGGGACGATGATCTGACCCTTGGCCGGTCATTGACGTTATAAACGGTGGAAGTCGTGTTCTCTAGTCGTTGGACAGAATGAGTCCGCTGGTGGTGCAGTCGATGCGTCGGGAACGCAAGCGATGGCCGTTCTGCGGGTGTCGTGGCTGCAGGCGACTGGACGAATCACTCGCTGAGACTGATACTCACTGGCCTTGCATGATGCGGCCTACTCGTTCAAATGGAAGAATGGCGAGGAGGCGGGCCACATATACTTACATGAACTGATGAACATATAACCATTACATTGCAGTCTATCGCAGGCGACTTGTATACATGGACGAGATGCGAACAATATTCGGGGTAGCGATAAGTAGTAGGGTGTCGTTAAATCCTCACCAAGGTTTCAGCGCACGTTAGCTTCCCCGCGTGAGCAGGTACTAATCCCGAGGGCCGCGAAGAGGCCTGCGCCAGGAACATCCGCGCCACAAAGGCAGCGGAAGACCGTACCTCGGGAGCCGTTCTTGACTCGGAGACTCGCCAGAGATCTCCGAGCGGCACTTGAAGCTCCATTGGTCTGGCCATATCTAGAGCCATGTCAGTACGCGGCGATGACAGCAACGTCGAGCAGAGTACTCACTTCAACTCTGCTTGCCATCACCCAAGTCCTCCTGCAACAGCGTGTCAGCAACGCGGAGCGGAAGTTGCGGAACAACGAAGATGCAACGCACCTTGCCCTATTTTGGGCGACGCCGAGTGGGCCCATACCACCGGCGTCGCTGTTCTTCGTCCAGATTGTGGCGCTTGCATGTACGCATCCCAGGCAGAGGAAGGCCGTACGCACGGGACTTTCGGCGTACGGCGCAGTCACATGGCATGATTGGGAGAGTCGCATGCAAGCGCATTTCTACGAAAACGATGGTCAGCTTGCGAGACGGCGAAGAGACATACGGTGGTGGTTCATGTCCGATTTGATCCTACTTCATCCCATCCCATATTGGCGCACGCCTATCGCGTCTCTGCGCATGGGAAGGGGTGTCCGTGGGGCAGACGCGTCGACGTAGCCTCGGGTGCGTCTACATGCCCACACGGACTGCACGCTCAGAGCCCTCCGGGAGGAGAGGTTACGGTGCGTAACGTGGCCTAGAGAGTATGCCACGTCGACTTGACGTCGACGCTCGCAGCCTACTCGACAGGGACCAGATGCTCTGCACGAGCTGACCCGCGCCGGTACGGCGGAGCCGGTAGGGCCTTCAGAGGTCTTGTGGGGGTGGGTTAGATGTCGTCAAGTAAGCAGGAGGAACGGAGAAGTACGCACCACAAAAGACGATCCCTACGCTGGCGACAGGACGTCGAGGCCACCACTTACGCGACACATGCGAGAGCAGTCCGCAGAAGAGCAGACCTCGCAGAGGAGTCAACCGGATGCACCTGAGTGTACGTCGCCACCCATGCCACCTATGGCAGCACGTTGCTGGTTACAGCGTCCGTGAAGAGTCCTGGCCAGCGGGTGGCGCAGGTCTCCTTCCCGGTTCACCCCGACCGACACAGACCGTGACGACCCACGAACGAGGTGGACGTACGAGGCCTATGCCGGTGCAGAGCGCCGACGCCTGGGCGCATACCCTATCCGCCACGGGGCCGGCTACGACGGCAGGGCAGAACGGGTTGATGGCCAACTTGTGACCGGGACGGCACGCCACAATGCTACCTGAACCGGGTGTCAGCGACGGTCAAGATGGTGAGCGAGGGAAACAAACGTACATGTTTCACACTGGGACGACCTGGTACATCGACGCTGTGTAGGAGGTGAGAGGGGGGTCGGCGAAGGAGGGCAGAGTAGCGCACCTTGATGTGTCGTGCCCGTGCTGGCCCGTTAAACTTCGAGGTGATGCGCTAAGTTAGAACGAGGAGCGGTGGTGATTGTGCATAGTCGAGTATGGAAGGGAACATAGCATGTATACTTAGTGATTGCGGGTGGTGGTGGTTGCGGGGAAAGGTGGGTGAGGACGAGAACGCGCAGAGCTGGGCCTTTTGAAGGGGAGAGGCTGGCGCCACCGGCACGCTCCGGCGGGGTGGTTGGCCTTCTGTCATCCCAGGAAGCCGAATCGAGAGCGCCCTTGTCCTTGTCCGGGTCCTCGGGCGCTGCTTCTAGCTCCTCCTCCTCATGCCAAGCTGGGAGAAATACGAGGACAGGATGCTTCTGGTGGGCGGTGATGCTCACGATAATCATCGATCTTTTGTCTGCCGTTTCGCGGGCGGCGATGCTGGGAGAGAACGCGGGGGCTCAGAGGATCGTTGCTGCACGCAACGGAGAGCGTCCTGGATGTCTAGGGATGTCCGCGGCCAGCACGATGGAGCTGTCCTTCCCTCAAATTTATTTGTTCGTGTGGAAGACGGCTGCCCCTCTTGCCCGATTGGTGCTTCTCCTTGTATTCCAAAGTAGTTGCGAGATGCAGAACATCCACAAGGCGGCGCGGCCTGGCGTCCTCCTGTTTCCGTAACTTGGACACGGGATGATTGCTGTCGGCAATTCGTACCTTAGGCCGTGCCGCATCCCTGCCACGTCCCGCTCGCATCGGGTCGTCGTAAGTACCTTGCAAGTCGCTGGATCATACGGAAGACCTGCAAAAAACACGCAAAGACCTCTTTAGTTTGTTGTGGCGTGTTTCTCTATACAGGCGGGTGGACAAATGAGTTACCAGTGGTGCAGTCATTCGACCAGTGCGATGATAGCGCAACCCACTCGCTGCCTGTATGTATACGCAAAATCGGCTACCGGCATACCATGTTCGAGTCCTGCAGCTGTCTCTGGGCGGGTGTCTGGCAGCTGGCAGGTGCCACGGAGTCACGGACTATGTACGAGTAAGGCTTACTTATAGTGGC